ATTGAACGCAATCACGGTCAAAACCGTTACCCCTTGCCGTTGATCGCCGAAATGGTGGATAAGCTCCGCGGCGCTACGCTCTTCACGAAGTTCGATGTCCGATGGGGATACAATAACGTCCGGATCAAAGCCGGTGATGAGTGGAAGGCGGCCTTCGTGACTAACCGGGGGCTGTACGAACCCCTAGTGATGTTCTTCGGTCTCACCAATTCCCCTGCGACCTTCCAGGCAATGATGAACGAGATATTCCACGATCTCATTGTTGGTGGCAAAATCCTCGTATACCTGGATGACATACTCATCTTCTCCACCAACAAGGAGGAGCACGAGAAGGTCACACGCGAGGTTCTTCGTCGCCTTCAGGACAATGATCTGTTCCTGAAGCCTGAGAAGTGCGAATGGGATGTTCCCAAGGTCGACTACGTTGGCTATGTGTTCGGTGGCGATGAGGTGGCGATGGATCCCGCGAAGCTGAAAGGAATCAATGAGTGGCCGGTGCCCCGGAACAAAAAAGACGTTCAGAAGTTCCGGGGGTTCTCCAATTTCTACCGCCGCTTCATTAAGGACTTCGCTAAGATCTCGCGACCACTCGACCGGCTCACAGGGAACGACCCATGGCATTGGGGCGAGGAAGAGCAGCACGCCTTCGATGAGCTCAAGCGGCTCTTCGCGACGACTCCAGTCTTAGCGCTGTACGACCCTAATCGGGAAACGCGCATTGAAGTCGATGCCTCGGGGTACGCCACCGGCGGCGTGTTGATGCAGAAGCAGGATGATGGCAAATGGCACCCTATTGCCTTCCGATCCCATGCGATGGATCCGGCACAGCGGAACTACGAGATCTACGATAAGGAGATGCTCGCGATCATTGAAGCGCTGGACGATTGGCGCCACTACCTTGAGGGGTTACCCAATCAGTTCGAGATCGTGACCGATCATAAGAACCTCGAGTACTGGCGTACATCCCAGCATCTCACGCGCCGTCAAGCGCGATGGTCGCTGTTCCTAGCTCGCTTCGACTTCCGCATCACGCACAAGGCCGGGACGTCCAATGGAAAGGCTGATGCCCTGTCGCGTCGATCAGACCATCAGATCGGCGATGAGGACAATAACACCGATCAGGTGGTCCTCAAACCGGAACGCTTCCACATCGCCTCTGCCAGGCGTGGTCATGCTTCGGTAACGGCCGATCAGTCACTTCTAAAGCGCATCAGGGAATGTTCGGAGAAGGATCGAGAGGTGGCCGAGGCCCTCGAAAAGGTGCAGGACCTCGGGCCGCCCCGGCTGCAAAGGGGTTTTGAGGAGTGGAATGCCGAACAAGGGCTCCTGCTGTTCCGCGGGTGCGTGTACGTCCCAAAGAACGCGGAGCTCCGGCGGGATATCGTTAAGATCCACCACGACTCGCCGATCGCCGGTCATGGTGGTCGTGCCAAAACCCTGGAACTCGTGTCGCGGAACTACTGGTGGCCTGGGATGTCTAAATTCGTTAATGAGTACGTAAGCACCTGTGACGTGTGCAACCGTACCAAGACATTCCCAGCCAAGCCCCAGGGTCCGCTGAAGCCGAACGAGATCCCCGAGCGCCCGTGGCAGATCATCACGACCGATATGATCGTCGGCTTGCCGAAGTCTGATGGATTCGACTCGATCCTGGTCACCGCCGACCGCTTTACCAAGCAGGTCCACTTCTCGGCCTGTCATGAGACCTTGACGGCAGAAGGTGCGGCAGACCTGTACATCCGCGATGTGTTCAAGCATCATGGGGCCCCGGCCAAGGTCATATCAGACCGAGGACCCCAGTTCGCTTCGAAATATCTCCATGCGGTGTACAAGGGACTGGGGATCGAGCCGGCGCTGTCTACAGCGTTCCACCCTCAGACAGACGGCCAGACTGAGCGCTGGAATCAGGAGATCGAGCAGTACCTGCGTGCTTTCACAAGCCACAGGCAGGATGATTGGGCAAAGCAATTGCCGCTCGCGGAATTCGCGCTGAACAACCGAGTTCACTCCGTGACCGGGCACTCCCCTTTCTTCCTGCATCAGGGGTACAATCCTGAGATCCAAGTGCGGATCAATCCGATGTCTGCGATGCCTGCGGCCGCCGATCGGCTCAAGATCCTGAAGGAGATTCGCGACGATACGCGCTCTGCGCTCGAGCTGTCCGCCGAGCGCATGAAGGTGTACTACGATAAGCACGTGCAAGAGGCACCGGTCTTTGCGCCGGGGGACAAGGTCTGGCTTGATGCCCGGAACCTTAAGCTGAAACAGCCGAGCAAGAAGCTCAGTCCCAAGCGCCTCGGACCTTACACCGTGCGGCGAAAGCTCGGAGACTTGGATTATGAATTAGTCCTGCCAAAGACGGTGCCGGTGCACCCAGTATTCCATGTCTCCTTGCTGAGCAAGTACACGCGTAGCGATATCCCGGGCCGGGAGCCGGAGGAGCCGCCTGCGATCGAGGTTGAGGGCGACGAGGAGTACGAGGTTGAGCGGATCAAGGATTCGCGGATCTTCCGGCGTCAGCTGCAGTACCTCGTCAAGTGGAAGGGTTATGACGATTCGCATACGTCATGGGAACCGGTGCGCAACGTTGCCAATGCGCCGGCTCTCATAGCCGACTTCCACCGGAAGAACCCGAACGCCCCTCGCCGCCTCAATGCTGCTACCTTTGGTGGTCTCAACTTCCAGCCAATGCCTTCGCCGCTGACTGAAGCTCGTTGCCGCTCCGGATGGGAGATGGGCAAGGGCACCTCGCATGAGGTCATGCGCCGTTGAGGGGGGGGTAATGTCACGACTTGGTACGGCGCCTAGCCGTTTTTTAATTTTTTCCTTTTCGCGGGCTCGAACCCGCGACCTCTGTACTACCTGCCTGATATGGACGCGTCACTATCTACTGTACGATTAGATTAGATGGGGCGGCAGCGCACAGCACAGCTCGGGCTCCGCTGACACAGCCGCTCTGACTCACCGGCCCCCGGGGCCGTGTCGGCATGCTGTGCACGGACCAGCTGCGCACGGACCAACGCGCACAGCCTGCCCTAATCTCCCCATGTATATAAGCCGGCCTCTGCTGCCCTAGGGACCTCAGTTTCGACCTCTTGTCCCTAGGTCAGTAAGCCTCCATTTGTATCATTTCTTACTTTACTAACTAATACACTTTCTTGTCCCTAGCCTTAGGTTTGAGCGCTGCTCACCATCGCTTCGGTGAGATTTAAGTCGGACGCCCCCAGCTTTCAGATCTCCCCCTGTCGCTTGACCTCAAGTCGCGACAGGGGGATTAAGGCAAATGTGGTGTATAGATTCATTGAAACAACTATAAATACACAAGGTAGCTAGGCTAGGGGCGACATTTCTTGGCACATGAGCATTGTGCGAGGCAGACAGAATATGAGATCCATGAGCTCACTGCCTGTACTAAATGAAAGCTTAAGTATCATGAGGCATGGACACCGGGCATGCAGCATAACGATCTTCCGACAATACCACAAAAGGAAGTGTGACCTCGACCACCACTGTGCCCGAGGACCCCGGGCTTACCTCGGAGTCATGACTGTCCCAGGGTCATTGACGGTCAATGGCAAGTCAACGATCAATGACTATGACCATTGACCACGGTCATTGACCGCACACCACTGGCTCATGGTGTGTTGTCTTCAGCGTCTTCAGCATCGGAGGACGCCACCTCACCCAGCACGGCAGCCACATCCCCGGGGACGTCATCGACAGCAGGAGCACACTCCGGCGCCCCGGGCCAGCGCGGGCAGGCATCAGATTGCCAATAAGTGATAACCTCCAGATGCAAACGTGACAATCCAGACTCTTTGACGTTTAACTGCATGGCAACAGTCATGTTCGAGGTCAGCCAGATCAGCCGCGTTGCTGTGAAGATTTAGAAGTTGATTCTATTCTACAATCGCGTCCAGACCTCTGCGGGAAGGCATCCAATAAGATGTGGGCAGAACCCATCAGAAAATTTGCACTAGCCGAGACTATACATAAATGATGTGTAATTTCATTCTGATATTTTCCCCGCTACTTCCCTTATTATTGCTTTGCTACTTTTCTGCGCAGAGTGAATTCCTTTCTGTTTATGACCTGCCTGCCTGCCCGCCCGCATGTTATATGCACTTGATTCGTGGCCATTTGTAGACGGCGTGCGTGGCGCGGAGCATATGGATTTCCTGCAACAACAGGGTGCTCAAGCACGGGATGCCGCTCATCCCGCTGCGGTCCTAGCTACGTGGTCAGTTCACTGTATGTCCGATTTACTGTCTGGGGTGCTGACGATGATTGTCGTCTGGTCGTGCATTGATGGCCGCATCTAGGGCTTGTGTTGCGCGCAAAGCAAGACACAGTGCAGCACAGCGTGGCGACCGTATCGTGTTTGGTGAGGTGAGTTGGAAAGCTGGATAGTGCGGCTGAATGGATACTAATAGTCTTATTTAGGTGACTACGAGGCACGCACCCAGGATATTCGGATCGCCTTACCTTGGCTGGCTGGTAAGATAATAGGACTGGTCGTGCTTACGGGACATTAGCCGGGAACACGGTCAACCGATACGGGGGACACGGGCCGTTGGAGCAACCGGAAGCAATACACATTAGCGCGGCATGCGGACGCGGGACTGTTGGGCAGCGTGGCTACAATTTGGGCTGGGCCAGACGCAGGCTGTGTCAAAGGTGTCATAGTAAGTTTGGGCATACCTTTTTGCAGTTGCACTGACCATTGAGCGGCAGTCTTGCAGGCGCCACGCAACCTCCAGAAGTGCAGTAAGCAGCGCGCGCTGACCGGAATGGCCCGCTGGGTGTGTTGGGCGTGAGCGGGACGCAAGACCAAGCGGGCACAACATGTGACGTGCCGTTGGGAGCGCAACACTCGCAAGAGCGTCACGCGGAGACGGTTCGAAGCGGTGAATTGACCCGGTGCAATGTCCAGGTCTCCGGACGCAGTGGTGAGTCCTCGTGCACGGGATGGGACCGCTTCGCGCAAGGGCGAACACGCGCAGTGGCAACGCGCGGAGTTGCGTGCCCGGTCAGCATCCTTTGTGGTGGTTTTCGCCCTTGCTGGCCTGGCGGACTCGGATGTTGCAGTCCGATGCGCGACGACGCAGACCGGGACAGCGCCAGCGACTTGCCGCAAAGTATGCTGACTGGGCGGTACAAACATTTTCTGCACTGCAGAGTCGCGCGGGAACATTACACCATTGCCGGCGCAACGTCCACAAGAACATCGCGCGGAGACGATTGAAGGCGATGAGCTGACTGGACGCGGTGTGCGGGCATCGAGATATGGTGACAAATCCTCGCGCACGGAATGCTGACCGCGTTTACAAGCGGCGAGGGCGAATGCGAATGGGCACAGTGGCAACGCGCGGCGCTGTGCTCGCGATCAGCATCCGTTGTTTGCGCTCTTGCTGGCCGGGCGGACTCGGAGGATGCAGTGCAGCGTCTTGTCCCCGATGCGCGACAATGCTGACCGGGACAGCGCGTGCTCCTGCGATGCGCCAGCGAGTTGGCGCGAAGCGTGCTGACCGGGCGGTACAGACGTTATCTGCACCAGGGATCCGCGCGCACATGGAGGCTGGTGGCAGGACGGCGGTGCGCGAGCGATGGGCGGGGCGACATAGACGGTACCGGATGAGAGTATGGATACCAGCAAGGCCTTTGAATATATTTTGTTGCGACTTGCTGTTCCTGGTACGCCACAAGCGCCCTTACTCCCCGCCACTCCCCAGCGCTCTCTACTCCCCTCTCCCAGCGCTCTCTATTCCCCTTGCCTTGTCCCATCTCCTCAGTTCCATACGGTCTCTTCTCGCACGCTCACGGGACTCCACCAGGTCTTTTACCGCACAGAGCCGCATCGCGCATCGGGCGTGGCGTGCGCGGGCTGCGGCGTGGCCGTGGCGGGCGTGTGCAGGAGGGGCACGGGGGCCTGCTGTGCGCACGTGTCGTGCTCGGGGGGCGTCGGCGGCAGGCGGTGCTCCGCGACGGGCTGCTTCGCCGCCCTCTTCTGCGTTTTGCTGGGCTTGGACTTGGTGACGTAGTGGGCGACGAGGAAGAGCTGCGCGGCGCGGTCAGGACGGCGCGGAGACGGTCAGCGGAGACGGTGCGCACCCATTTGTTGTCCCAGGACACGATGCGGACACGGATCTCGTAGCGCGCGAGGAGCGGGATCTCGCGCAGGAACGTGTAGTGCGTGCCTGTGCGTGTGCAGTTCAGCGGTCAGCGTGCGCGCGCGGGGGAAGGAAGGGAGACTCACCGCCGAGCGGCATCCAGCCTCCGGCGCGGAAGAATGTAGGGAAACACTTCAGCACGTGCGCGAGGCGCGCCGAGTCCAAGCTCTGCAGACGGGGTCAGCATGTCGTACACCGTATGGGCCCGAACACGGACGACAACGTGCGCACCTTGGCGTAGCAGGAGTTGCTCAGGTGGAGGTTGTAGTCGCAGTCGTCGGGGCCTGGGGGCGGTCAAGTCAGCTCGAAGATCGGGACGCGTGCGGGACCGCTGCAAACGGCAAAGGGAGATATCGAGGCGGGCCGCGGCTGGGGCCACACATGGGCCACGGGTTCAGAGCAAAGATACATATGGCAAACGGACCCCAAGGGCGTCGCGATGGTGTGGGGCATGGCCAGAAGAACGGAGGGAACACGGAAGACTCACTCGCCCAGCCCTTCCAAGCTACCGTGACATCGAATGGGCTCTTGCCCACCGGCGACAGCGCCGCGAGCCACTGCGCCTTGGCGCGCTGCTTGACATGGCGCGGCTTGAAGAGGAGGCGCAGGCGCAGGAGGTGCAATCTGAGGCGCAGCGCGATGAGCGGGCTGAACACGCGAACTAGAGAGCGGGTGAGACGGAGAGCACGCGCGGATGCGGGGACGCTCACAGTGCCACGAGAGCGGCCAGGAGCGGAGGTTGACGAGGAAGACGAGGCAGGCGGTGTATCTGAGGAGGCGGACGCCCAGGGAGGCGACGCGTGACGGCGTCCATGGCCACAGACGCAAGCGAAGGGACAAGGAAGAGAAGAGAAGAGCCAGCAAGAGAGCCGCGCCCGTCCCGCTCGGAGCGCCCGCACGCGGCGGCGTCTATCACATGCCGGGGGTGCGCACCCGACGTCTCCTCTCAATCAACTGCCTCGTGCGCGACCCACCATCGAGCTGAGGCATTGGCCGTCCAGTGGTGTCGATAGCGATGGCCAACGCAGATACTTTGCACAATCGACCGTGCGACGTGACTCATGCGCCTACTACCTGGTATAGTAGTGGCCCGCTTACATAGCGATCGCCTCGTCTCGCGCTTTCCCTCAGAGTGCCTCGTGCGCAACCTACGATCGATCGCTCATCCTATTGTAAAGACATCGCGTGCGCCCGGAATCTAGCGTCCTGTGCACGCAGGCCTTCGTCCATAGTGTCCGCTCGTCAGCGAATCGCGCAGCCCGCCCGCCGGCTCTCCCTTGCTCCGCGTCCCACTCTGGCTGACGCCAGGTCCTCTCCATCCCTTCAGCCCTCGAGCGCGCAGCCCGCGTTCCCTCCGCCTCTCTGCGACGCCGGACGAGCTGAGGCGTCGGCCGTCTCCGACGCAGTGTTGTCGAT